GGGGTTTATTTGCAGATCCTGGATAAAAGATGATATATCGACACAGTTTAGAGTGTCATTGCGCCTGGCCTCTCAGGAAGCCACAAGTACATATTTCCTGAAATACCGGCCAACACAATATCTAATCCACACGCCACTTAAGCACGGGAGGGGAACCTCAGCATCTCACAAGTTTGCGCCTGGTTTCCTACTTATGGGTGGGGAGACCCCACCCGGGCAGGCTCTGGTGCGCCTGGATGCGCCCTCCCGTCGCCTTTGTCTTCAGTCCAAGTAATCACTTAGTGATGGGCCGTAATAAATACGTCCGAGAACTGTCCTTATGCTTGGTAAATATTGGATTAGCTTTTCAATGACCAGGCTCTTGAAAAAGGCTCGAGAAATCCACACCAGGTCTCCACTAAGCCTAACAGTCAATAGGTAAGGAAAATAAGTGCTTTCCCTGGCTGGGGTGGGGAGCGTTGACAAGGGGATTCCTCCTCTTAGCAAGTTATCTGATTCTACGAAATATGACAGTAGTCCTAAATGGGAAAGGGAGGCCTCCATTTGGGATTAGCTGGACTTTCCACCGACTTAGTTACTCACTAAGGCCTGAGTGACTTTGCCTAAGGGGGCAACGTGTGTGGGTTTCGTGCTTATTTCCACAGCGTGAGCTCTCTGTTTTAGCACATAGGGGTTTTTTTTGTTTGTTTGTTTAGGGGTTGCTTATGGGAGCTTTTGACCAGGCTGTGGGGGGGCGGAGCCGGGAGGCACATGGCCCATATGCTCTCCAACTGCCCCGATAACTCAGACTGCTTGGGTGAAGCGAAACCCGGCAAATTCCTTGGAAGCTCTGCTGTGTGTCCCCGTTACTTAATTTTACTAATCAAAATGATTCAGGAGATAACTGAGAATTAAAGCGCAAGTTCCTCTCCCAACTCGAGGAGGGGTGGCGGTGAAAGAAGTCTCTGAACCGGCTTCCTCGTCGCACCGAGATGCCAGAAGGATCCCCGCCTATAATTCGACGAACCCGGGGTTGGTAACACAAGGGTCTGGCTGGGTAAAAGTGGCTTCAGAACCAGCTGCAGCTGAAACGGAGCTGCCAGGACTGAGAAGCCCCCTGAGCCTCTCCAAGTGTTTCCTGCAGTGCGCAGAAGGGTGGCTCCACGCGCCTGGGCGTCGCGACTTGGCGGAAGCATTTACTCTGGAACCTTGAAGTCCGCGGGACCGGAACATCCCTGAGCCCTGGACACTTGGAACTCCTCCTGAGCCCGGCGCTGACGGGTGGCTTCCACGCAAGGCTCCCAGGCAGACCAAGCCTAGCTCTCAGTTCCCGCGCGTAGGAGCAGCAAAGTGCGCGCAAGGAGCCCCAACCCTGAAGGCAGTTTATATACCCGAGCCTGAGCATTAGAGCCAATGTTTGGTAGAAGAGTCAGAGACAGAGGACAGAGATAGACTAGAGAGAAAGAAAGAGGGAGAGAAAGAGTAGAGAGGGAGAAGAGAGAGGCGGGGGGGGGGGGGAGAGAGAGAGAGAGAGAGAGAGATCCAGCTCTCAGTGTGTCACGGGGCCTAGGCGGGGCAAGCGCCCTCTGAAGCCATCAAAGACAGGGGTGGCTGTTTTCCCCTCCTCCAACCTCCTCCCCAATAGATATAGCACGAATTTTTAATGCGTCTTCCTTTCACAGACAACAATACAGGGTTTGAAAGCCGGACACAATTTGGGTTTTGTGCGGGTCCCTCCTCGCGCTCCCTCGGCCCAGCTGGCCATATGGAATCCAGCATGGAGCCCGCGGATGACAAAGGGACCCAGTGACAGGCCCAACAAAACCCCAAGGAGACTTCTGCCTGACTCCGGGATTCACTGCCCGAGATAAGCGCGCTGAATGGTGCGGGGTAGAGGGGGAGGGACGGTGGGCCCCTTCTCCCTCTTCCCCTCTCTCTGTCCCCTGCGATCCTTTCTCTGTCTCTTTTTAATATGCACGCCTCTAACATCCCCGCTCCCAGCTCTCCCATTGTGCCGTTTTGTGCGGCCCGCTGTAGATTGGGCGAAGATAGACTGCCGAAGCGGACCCCGCGCCGGGTGCGCTCCCAGGGCGCTGGGGTTAGGGCCACACAGGGCTCCGCGGGCGCTTTTATTGACTCCATGGGGACCCGAGGACAGAGAGAGGCGGGCGCCGGACCCACCTCCCCAGCTCCCAGACGCTCAAGCGCACACCCAGACTGCAGGCCTGCAGTCCTGGCCACCGCCCAAAATGCACCCTCAATGTGCCCCCAACGCGCACTCAGTGGAAGCCTTGGAGAATTTGGACCTTCCACTTTGCCTCCTTCCTCCCTGGAGGCCTAAGGGCTCCTATGATCATTCTTGCGCCCCTCCGCAAGCCCTAGGGCCTGGAACAGTCAAAATCAGCTGGAGTCTTGGGGCTGTGCCTCAGGCCTCCTGACAAACCCACTCCAAGAAGTCTTACCTCCCTTCCTGACGGATTTGAAGGTTACAGGGAAGGTACTGGAGAGGTCTTGAGTGCTTGGTATCAGGGCAAGTTGGGCATTTGACTATTGAACAATAAATGATTTGCGGAGAATTCTCTTGGCCTTTACAAATAGCAAGAATGAAAACCTCAAACGTTTCTAAGCTAATGTGGGGAACAAAGGGAGACTTGTCAGCATTTAGGAAAACCTGGGTGTACCCGGATGAACCTGGAGATGGGAAAGGACATTTAGGAGGATATTAGAAAGACTCCAGCGCCCTCATTTATCCAGGGGCGGGTGCGCAACGCAGGAATAACGTGTAATCACGTCCCTGGGCGTGTTGCGCTGAGTGCTATTGACGCGCAGATTTGGTCACACGGATAATCATGTTTACTTTAGATATTGAATTAAATCTGATCATCAACTAGAGGGAGCGAGAAAGTCAGCTGGGACCGCTCCCTTTGCTCTGCCTCCTCGCCCCCCGCCTCCACTCCCCAGCCATGAAGGTGGAGCTCAAGAGAAAACGAGAGATACAATTTCCGAATGGGGCCGACTTTCAATCCCAAGGCATCTCAGCGCCCGCTGGGCTCTGAGCTACACAGCCCCGGGTATTTTCGGAAATCCGCGAGATGGAGGAGAAAAGCGCCCCCTCCCCCTAAGCAGGACCCCCTGAGACGCTCCCCCGCACCGGCAAGTGTGCGCCAGCATCCGCTAAAGAGATCTCCCAGCGACCAGGGTGGGATCGAATCTGTATTAGAGATACAGGGCCGATGTGCCCTCCCCCAGCAAACCGGGGGCTATTTGTTCGCTGCCTGTTCCCCCCACCACAGCCCTGCCGGCCAGGGCGCACCACCCACCTCCAAACCCCTACTTTCCAGCAAGCAGTTCGCTCAGTTTCACGCCATAGGGTTGGCCTGGAGGGCCGCGCGCAGTCAATTGCTAGGAGGGGAGGAGGCGTGCGTTCCAGACCCAGGTTTGGGGGCTGGAAACGTAGAAAGGTCGGGGACGAAAGGGAGAGTTTGGAAAGGTTCCACTTGTTGGGATTGCCACTGACTCCTGCTCCTCGGCTCTCCCGGGCCCAATAGCCTAGAGGAGGCTGCAGCAGCTCCCTCCTCCCCCACGCTTCGTTCGCCGAGCTCCTTCTTATTGCCAAAGCCTCGAGCACCCCAAAACCCTCCTCCCCTCTCCGTTCCACGCCCCGGTCTTGGAACGCTCTCCTGGGTTGCCTCCAGTCAGCGGATTTTGAAGAAGGGGTGGGGAGTGGAGAGAAAGCCGACCAGTCTCAACCTCAGCGTCCCCACCCCCCTTCTCTGCGCGAGGTAAATCAAATCAACAAAGTGAAAGTCATCGACTGTAGTGGCTTCAACAGCTTCTCAGGCTGAAGGAGCCACTCGTAGATTTGGGCGAGCGAGGGGGGCTTGCTCCGTTCGCCATGGCGTTTTCCAAAGTCAGTTTTCCTCCCTAAGACAGGACGCTGCGGTCCCCGATTCAAGCGGCGCTAGAGACCAGGAGAGAGGCCTGGGAGAGGGCAGGCGACCTCGGGCTTCGGGTCTACAGCTCGAAGGCCCAAGGCCCGAGGCCAAGCACTCCCGCCCCAACCCGGGACCCGAGGCCCGGGGCCTGGCCCGCCTGCCCCGACGAGGCCTGTTCCGGGAGCCACTCCAGCGCCCAGGGCGCCCCCAGTTCCCGGCCCCGAGGGGAAGCGCGGATGAGGCCTCAGGCCCGGCGCAGGTCGACAAAGTAAGACAAACGGGAGGGCCGGGCTTGGTTTTTTTAAACACAGGATTTTTATTAAAATTCTTATTTAAAAAATCGAAAGCTTTCAGCGCCCGGCGCTCTTGGGGAACCGCACGGAACCGCTGAGCTCCAAGTTCCGGGGCTCAGGACCCGGATCTGGGGCAGGGGGCTTCTCGCCTACACATTTTTTTTCCTTTTTCATATTTGAGAGATGTTTGCACTGAACAAAATATAAAAGGAAAAGAAAGCAGGAGTAACCAAACAGAAGCAAACCAAAAACAAACCACAAAGAAAGGAGTTGGGCCCCGAGGGAGAACAGGCCCGCACTGAAGATCATTTTGGCAACAATCACCACCGATATTTACAACGAAAAGCGAAATCTGCCACCAGTTGTCAGAACGTTTACATGGCCATAAATATTAAGCATGTTCTTATAAAAAAAAAAAAGGAGAAAAAATTCTCTATATTTTTAAAGTGTTCTCCACTTGCTTTCGAAGAAGACAGCTGACAATATCGCTACTCACACAAACATATTTTACAAAATTCACAAAAGCGGGGAGGGGGGATGTGTTGGTCTTTCTCTCGTTCTCAAGTGAGGACGTTATCGCTGGGACGATTTGGTCCCCCCCCGCCCCCCCCGGGGAGAGGCAAAGAAGCGAAGCTGCGCAAACATTCTGTAAACACGGCTTAGAGTTCAGCCCTCTCCAAAGGTTCCATAGGAGAGAGGGATGGGGCAGAGTTGCGTGGATGGAATCTGCGGCTCCAAGGAGGCGCAGGCAACCTCCCGGCGCCTCCCCACCGGAGCCAAGAGTCAACTCGACTCCAGAATAATAATTATAATAATAATAATAATAACAACAACCACCGTAAGGACCGAGTCCTCCTCGCCGCCGCCGCCGCCAGGGTGGGGCTTGGGCCTAGGGCCGCGAGTCTCGGGGGGCGGCGCTCACCACGTCCACTGCTGGGCCTGGACAAGGGGGTGTGCTGTCGGGTACTGGGGGGTGCTGGCGGAGTTGTACTGGGCGTTGTACTGCATGTGCTGCAGAGACTGCGCGCTGTAAGCCGAAAAGGGGATGCCCGCCTGGAAGGTGGCGGCTGCCAGGTCCTGGGCTTTGAGCGCGTGGCACGGTTTGCCGTCCCTGACCAAAACGGGCACGGCCACCCGGCGCGGCGAGGGTAGGGGCGTCACCTCCATACCTTTCTCCGCCCGGGCGCGCTTCATCTTGTAGCGGTGGTTCTGGAACCAGATCTTGACCTGCGTGGGCGTGAGGCGGATGAGGCTGGCCAGGTGCTCGCGCTCCGGCGCGGACAGGTACCGCTGCTGACGGAAGCGCCGCTCCAGCTCATAGGTCTGCGCCTTAGAGAAGAGCACCCGCCGCTTCCGCTTCTTGCCCGCGTCCCCCCCGCTGCCCGGGGTCTCCTTGTCATTGTCCGGTGACTCGTCGGCCGAAGGCTCCGGGGACTTGGCGCTTGAGTCCTGGGGCGCAGCGCCGGCCGCCAGCCCATGCACTGGGGGAGAGAGAAGCGCGTCAAGTGCCTGGAGGCCGCGCACCGGAACGGCCAGACCCTGAGCGCCCGGGATGCTCCGTGCGCCCTCGGCCCTCCGCGCCCCGAAGCCTGGCCCTTCTGCCTTCGCCTTGACCCCCGCCCTGATCCCTGCACGACAAAGCCGTTGGCTTCCCCCAGGGGAAAGAGGAAAAGCGACTTGAATGGGGGGTCTCCAGACTCGCGTTTCTAGGGGTTCGCACAGTGTGGGTGCGTATTTGGGGGGAGTGGCGCGCGGAGAAGATCGTTGCAGGTTAAGGGCTCCGGCCCCCTTAAGCAGTTTCCTCTCTGGAGGGACGTGGGCAGATTTTTAAAAGAAAACCCCCACAATCCCGGCATTGATCGTCTCGGCCATTTAAGGCAGGTTTTTGGGGGCTTTCGTTTTTGCTTTCGGACTTTCTGGACACCCTCTGCACCGCACAAAGCGTCCTCTATGATCCTGCAAGGGGGCAGGGTGAGCTATTTATACCCGAGCTACCGGGAGCCTCCCCCACCCTCTACCCGTACCCCGAGGCTCGCTGGCTCGCTCCAGTGCTCCAGGCCAGTCCCTCCCGGCTGTCAGGGTGGGGACGTGGGGGGGGGGGTCCGACCGGAGCCATCAGTCCAGGGTTGACTTCTGTAACCAGCCCTTGGGAGATATTCCCCTCCCCCTCTTTCCCCCAATTTCTTGCTTTGAAAAATATCCGAGACCAAGACTTTTTCCGATACGGGGACGGATGGGGGGGCGGGGAGTTGGGTTTGAAAAGGAGGAAAGAGTTAGGGCATCCTTAACAAGTGTTAAACATCTTTCCAGAGCCGCAGGGCGAGGCGTCTGGGTGTAAATGGCTCCTTCCTGTGTCTCCCCCGGTGTGGAGCCCGGGCTTCAGCCCAGGGGAGAGGCGCCTCGGCCGCGGCCGCGCTTCGCTACTTACGGGAGTACTGGAGGCCCTCGGCGCTGGCCAGCCAGCGCGTGTACGGGTTGTCGCTGCTGTCGTAGAAGGGGCTCTTCAGGGGTAGGCTCTGCACCGCGTCCAGGCTGCCCTGCCCCAGCGGCCCGGCCCTCTTGGCGGGCTCCGGCCCCTCGCTCTCCTCCTCCGGCCCTTCGGCCACGGAGCCCTCCTCATCGTTGGTGTCCGGCAGGTCCAAGATGTCCTTGACCGAAAACCCCGTCTTTGTGTTGGTCAGCGACATGGCTCAGGACCCCGCAATTTATGCAGCAAAGTTGTAGCTTCACTTGGTCAATTCGTGGCGCTCCCCAGTTGGGGCGGGGAGGGGTATGTGGGGGGAGGGATAGGGGGAGGGGAGGAGGGGGTGGGCTTTAATTATTGAGATAATAATTATTTTAAAAAAGAGAAACTATAAGGAAGGGGAGGTGGGGGGGAAGCCCAAGCGCAGCGCGCGTGCCTCCTCGGAATCCACGCGGAGACGGACGCGGGCGCTGGGCGGCCGGCGCGCGGAGCGCCGCGGGCCGGGCTCTAGTTTGTAACTCCAGGAGGGCGCCAAGGAGGCGTCAGCTCGGGCTCCGGCGGCTGGGCGCGCGGTGGCGGCTGGTGGCGAGGAGAAAATGGGCCATTGCCCGAGCGATCAGTCCATATAAGGCTGGGCTCCACTCACGAACCTGGGGAGAGGGGGGGAGCCGAGGGGGAGAAAGAGAGGGAGGGAAGGAGAGAGGGAGGGAGGGGGAGCGAGAGAGGGAGCGAGAGAAGGGTGGAAAAAAGGGGGGGGGACGTTAAAACGCAAAGGTTGGACACGTGTGGGCGGGTCTTGGAAGTCAAGTGGATGAAGACAGTATTTGCAGATGTGAAATTGTGGGTTTTGGGGAGCTCCGCGCTCCCAGCCAACGGCCCTCCAGAGCAAGATGAGAGGTGTAACGTGTCAATTAATTGCAAAGACGGGGCGAGCCTTTTTTTACCCAGTATTTACATACAAAGGACCACCGCGTCGCTCGCGAGTCCACACACTTGAAAAGGCCGTTTTAACAAATTGCATCTTTAAAAAAGCGGAGGAGGAGGAGAGAAAACAAAACAGAAACCAAGAAGAGCAAAAAAAAAAAAAAAACCTCCTTAACATTCACCGGTTCCCATCTCCCCGCCCCCGTGCGCCCGCCCCCAGCAAGCCATAAAATTGGCGATTTGTGGTGCTTTGGAAAAAGGGGAGGAGGCGAAGGCTGAGCCGCGGAAATCTCTTCTCCTCATCGCTGGCGGTTCCCTAAACAAGATCCGGTTCAAATGGCAAGAGCCCAACTTCTGTAAGCCTCCTAGGTCAATATTTTGGTTGAGGCTTAAGGATGAGTACTAGAAATGACAAGGCAAGTAATTGATTCTAGTTAACGCCGAAAGAGCCCGAAACCCAGGAGAGGGATCGGCTCGGGGCTGGCCGGAGCCACCACCGAACGACCCCACCCCCTCCAGCCACCCTTTATTTGCTAAAGACTTATTTATTTCCCTCACTCCGCCTCTCCCTACCCAACCCCCTTCCTTGTCTCAGCGGCCGGGGCGGACTGTGCAGTCCCCTCGCCGCTTTGCGGGCGGCCCGGGGAGGGGCCGAGTGGGGGGCTGGGGAACTCGAACTTGGGCCGGGCTCCGCGGGCCTAGCCACCTCCGGGCTCCGCGGGCCGCGCTCTCCGGCTGTAGGGAAGGGCAGCCGGCCCCGCGCCCTTCTTGCCCTTTATTCTGCCTCGCTCTCCAGCCCCCTCCCTCTCCAGCCTCCAGCAGGGGTGGAGCGGCGGGAAGAGAGAGGGGAGGGGTTGGGGGGACAGGGGCGCCGTATGCAGCCCGGGTGAGGGCCCCGAAAGCCGTGGGGGAGGGGGTCGCAGGGCAGGCGGATGCTGCTGTGTTTCCTTCGGAGTTTCCTTCTCCCAAGCAAGTCCTTAAATTTCGTCTCCTTTAGTCACCCCAGAGGTGCAATGGGAGCAAGAGCTCCCGGCTCCTAGCTTGCATTAGGTTTGTTTGAAGTTCTCAGCCCCTCGCCAGCCTGGGAACTGAACTTTCCTGGGACAGCACCTTCTCCAGGGCGCTGGGGATGAGAAGTCAGGGCAGTACTTCTCGCCCCTCTTTCCAGGTCTTTGTGGGGGAGGGAGTATTTGAGGGGAGGGTTTGCTACCTGAGGCTCCCGGCCGTCCCAGAAAAGCGTCGTGAAGGTGCAGTGCCCGGGGGTGGGAGGTGGGGGGATGGAGCAGAAAGGGCCGCGCGCGGAGGCCGGGCTGGCGCCTTCCCCTCCGCCCTTAGCCCGGGCATCCCCAGCGCCCGTGGCGCGTCGCGAGAGGGGCGTGCGGACGCCCCGTCTGCCCCGCGCGCAGCTGCGACCGCCGCCGCGCCCCTGCCGCCCCCTGGCCACCGGCGACCGGCGAGGGCGCCTCTCCCCGAGCCGCCCGGCGGCTTTCTGCAGCCCCGGCTGCCTTGCCCCCAGTATGTGACGTGGGTGACAATGGCCCAGGTTAGAGCGAGCCCCTCGTCGGCGCGTCCTGGGTGGTCGGACCCGGGCAAACACAAATACAAACCGATTGCTAAGCTGCGGACAATGAGCGAAATGTAGACAAATGTCCCGCTCCCGTTGGAAGCCTTTGTCCCGGCTCGGTTTTTGCATTTATTTCAGTGGCGAAATAATACATGATTGACGCTCTCTTTCAACGTGTCCTAACTGTTTGGAATAAATCTAAGGCTGTTCCTAGTTGTCATGGCGTTCAACCCTTTTCAATGGACTATCTCTTCATTTCTGAATCCGTCCACAATATTAAGGAAACCCCTTCATGTCGACGCTCCCCATTCCTCTTTCTCCTGCTACTCTTTCTTTTCTCCTTTCTCCCCCTCCTTCCTCTTTTTTCCCTGCAAGAATTAGAAACTGGTTTGAATCGTGTTCCTCGAACCCATTACTTTTCGTGCTTTTTTCTTCTCTCTCTCTCTCTCCCCAGTCTCTGTCTTTCCCAGCCTCTCTCCCCATTGCCTCCCCCTCCCCCTTTCACGTGGGAGCTCTCTGCCCCGTCCTGTCGGAGCAAGGAAGTTGGTTCTCCAGGAGCTGGGGGTGGGAGGGGGCTGAGTTTGGAAACAGGGCCAGGCTGGGTCTGCCCCAGCCGTTGTTAGTCTGCTGCTAAATAAATAACTGGTGAGAGAAAGTTCCTCAACCCAAGCGTTGCCGAAAAGAACCCTCCTGCGGTTCTTCCCCTTAGTCCTCTCCCCCAAGGAGGGGGTGTCTTGGGGACCAGAGCAGTCTCCAGGGATGGGGAAGGGCCAGAAATGAGTCTGGTTGGGCCAGGTCAAACGATTCTTGGGTTAGGTGAAAAATGGTCTTTTGGCAAGAAGTGTCCCTTTTTGCACATCCTGAGAGCCATCCTGGGGGGGGGGGTGTCACCTCCTTCTCCGAGTTCGCTCATTTCTTCACCTTGGAACCACCTAGCTCCATTCCCAAAGTCTTTCTCCCTTCCTCGAACTTACAGGGCCTTTCTCCCGAGATGCAATCATCCTGCCCACATTTGTGTGGGCCCCTCCCCTCTCCCTGGGAGCCTCCTCAGTGTGGCCCAGCACCTGAGAGACCACTGTTTTCCCACAGGAATCGGGCTCCTGGGACTTCATCCTGGAGACTGAGTGCTGACAATGGGGCCTGAAGAAGGAAGCCCCCAGCGCAAATCTGGAACGTCGAGCTCTCCACCGTGCCTGCCCCTTGGTCTCCAGGAGCGGAGACCTTCCAAGCGTCAAGTCACAGGGTTCCCTTCCAGGAGCACTGGCGGGGCCACACTTTGCCTGCCAGCGCAGGCCCACGGCTGGATATCGGCTTCCTCCTCCACGTTCACCCCAGCTCGGGCTCGAGTTTTCCTTCCCTTGGTCTCGGAACCTCCGCCGCGCCTCCAGCCGCTGCGCTCCGCGCCGTGCGGAGCGGGAGCCGGAGCCGCCGCGCTCAGGGCCTCTCTCCTGGGACCTCGCAAGTCCATTTTCCCCATCGCTTCGTCGCCTTGCGGTTCCCGCGCCCGCTTCCAGAGCGCTGACATTTGCAATTGAAAAGGCACAGGGAGACCGCTGGGAGGCTCATAATTGAAGGGGAGAAACTCTGCTTGTTAGAGGAAGATCATAAAATGCAAGTCCCCCAGGAGTGGCCTGAGGACGCCGGGAGGCCGGCGCGGGACCAGCTGGCGGCCGGGGGCCTGTCCTGTGCCGAAGCACGCTCCACGTTCTTTCCGATTTCGTGCGCAGGGGAGAGCCGGGGCCAACACCAAACGCACCTTCCCACACAAATTAAACAGGTGATTGCATTCCAAGGACTCCTCAAGAGGTCTCTCTGGGAGCCCCGCAGCCTGGCCTTGCCCAGCCTTTTCCAGCCCTAGATCTCCTGTCCAGGGAGATCCCGCGCGCCCAGCAAGCTGAAGACCCAGCTCCACGCCGCCGTCTCATCTCTAGAGTCCTATTTTAATGTTCCCACCATCCCCATCCTGTCAGTTCTAAACAATCCGTGTGGCCTCACAGCAGTTTCAGCTCTACTTGGATGTGCTCTGGAGACTCTTTAGTAAATTCTCTCCAGGTTCCATCTTGCAGCCAGGAGAAGACACTGTTCTGGTTCCATCACGTTTGGGTTGGGTCTTTAACCTTTGCGGAAGGCGAGGTAGCTGGTGAGCGCTTTGCTAGGGGCCTTCTGCGGCTGCGAACTTGGGAAGAAGTTGAGGTGGGTGTTGGAAGTTTGATCCGTAGGGCGTTCAAGGCCCGAGACTAGTTAGGGCGTCTTTGGTGTGCAGCACCAACTAGCACCCCCTGCCAGGGTTATCAGGACAGCTAGAGGTCCCCTGTCCCTGGTGTTTATCGTCAGCGTTGGGGTTCCAGGTGCTCTACAAATCTGCATTCCTTCTTCCTACGTTTAGTATGGGAGCAAAGGGAGGCGCAGGCCCCGATGGGAAGTGGAGGAGAAGAGCAAGGGAATCTTTCTCCTTAGAGGCTGGAGGTAACCTCCTTTGGGAGGTTTCTCAGGCGGCTAAGCTCCTCTCTGCCTCTCTGGGTTCCGGAAGGATTGAAGCGCAGGCGGCTAGAGAGGGCGGCTTGGGGAGCTGAACAATCGCCGGAGGCCCAGGAGGGGAGGTGAATGTACACAGGCTAAGTGGCCCCACTCCAGGACAAGTGGCCCTCCAAGTCGGCCCAGTGTTTACCTGTTTACTTTCCCAGGTAGCTCAAACAAGCTCCTTTTCTGAGCTCTGGGACACGGGGATGGCCCTGGTGCGCCCTTCGTCCCAGCTTCTCATTTGCCCCACGCCGCAGCTTTACGCC